GAGGTGGGGGTGCCGCGGGGAAGGCAGGGTACGCGTTTAACGGAGCAGCGAGTGAGGAGCTTCTCCCGGGAGAGCCTGCGGGGCGTCGTTTTCTCACGTTCCGCTAGTTTTGTCACGGACGAATCACTTAACTCGAGATACGCGACCGAGAGCTGCCTCCATCACTCGAAACGCTGCGTCAGCAGAACCAGAGCAACGTGCGTTCGCGGTACCTGGGCTGTGCGCTCCGGAGCCTCCGCACCCCCCCGCTCACAGGCACGTTTTTCTGTATTTTTTTTCTCCCCTGCGTTGCTCGCTGCATCTGAAGCTTTGGCCAAGCTGGGATGAATGTGTCGGTTCAGCCATGCAATACTGTCATGATCCACAGTACAAAAAAATAAAGCCTGCAATACAGAAAGAAACGTGGAAAGAAGCAAAACGTTTATGTAGGGACATGATCCAAAACCATACTGAAAATGGAAGCAATGTTAAACGACATACAAAACACAAAAATAAAAATCTTACATTTTTTATGTTATTTGAACAAATGTGGATCATGGATGTTTCTGTTGCCTGGCTATATCCCTTGGAACAAATTCTACGATGACTTGACATTAGTGCATCACACTTACTAAGACTTTATTCTTCAGCTTAGCTTTTGTGGTTTCATATTGCAAACAACTGAATAAATTACCTTGTGTAATGGAATGAGGCATCTTCTTTCCAGGTAGGAGAAGGATGCTGTAGCCATTACAGAGATGGCCATTATCTTCAAGCACCTGCATTTTTTTTTCCCTACTTTGCCACAGACTTCCTCAGTGAAGTTGGGTAAGTCAAGCCCTGATCCTCTGGAGGTGCCCAATACCTACTAAGGATCTCCTTTTGTCTATGTTTTTCATCTTTAATAAGGAATTACAGTATTTTTTTACTTCAAGGAGATTTCCAGGGTAAAAATACTAAGCATTAGGAGTGGCTTGGGTATTTGGCAGTGTATGGGGCAGTGAGTGCTTGTTAGCTTTTCAAGAGTTGCCTTGATTAAATAGCATACATAATTTAAATGCAGGATATAATCAAGCTTAACTCCTTGATAAACAAAATGATCAGTTTCTGATATAGTCCTTCTCCCTTTTAAAGTTAACTTTCAAGCAATAATTACATATTAACATGGAGCTACCTTCTATAGCTGACTTTATGTCAGCTACCAAGTTGAATTCATCATGGTAGAAGACTTGCTTGTAGCTAAAGCAAATTAGCTAGTCCCACTCTACACTTAGGAAGGTTTGATATGCTTATTAGATGTAATCATCTCTCTCTCCTCACTGCCTAAGCTGTCAAGGCATCAGACATAAAGTAAGTCTGCTGGAGGACTTTCAGAATGGCTATTCCCATCTGTGAGGTAGTTTGAATGCTGATTCTGTAGCCTAAGTAAAGTGAAAATTGTCTGAGTTGGTTCCCCGCCTGTTTTTTTTTTTAATTCAAATCCCTTACAATAGTATTTCTGCTCTCACTTGTGAAATGTAAAGTGCAATTGCTTCTGGCTTGCTTTTCCTGTGAGCTAGTTCAGCTGCACAAGGCTGAGCCGAGATCTGACTAGCGCAGCTGTGCTCCTTTAAAACAACAGACAATTATTTGTTTTCCTACAAACTGCCAGGGACTCAGGAATCCATTCTTTCTTACTTTCTGCACTTATGCAGTTAACCTGCAATTAAATTGTCTGTTCAGAAGTGGTAATAGATCTTTAAATGCATTAATCAAAAAGGAAAACTTGAGTTAGAATGTATATTGCATATCCTCAGCATGGAGTTTGAAATCCATATGCTGCTTAAAGGCTCAATAGAAGCAGGCTTTCCCAGAGCTGTAGTTTTGGGCTATTTTTGTGTGTGTGTTAACTGAGAGGAAATCCTCACAATTGTGATTAGAGAGACTTACATTTATCACAGGTTTATGTATGATCTTACATTGCTACTTTAATTTTTCTAGGATAAATGGGTGTGTGTGACTCTTCCCCTGATCTAAAGCGGTTCCATGTCTTGTTTGGTAAGTCAGTATTTAAAAATCATAGAATCTTTGTGTTGGAAGGGTCCTTTTAAGGTCACCTAGTTCAACCCTAAAATCTTTGGCAGTTGTACCTTGTCATACCTTAATGTGGAAAAGTTCTGGTGAAATCTCTTGCTTGAGAGGAGTTCCACAGTGCTGAGATGTTTAAACTTTCAACTTTAAGTGAAGGAGACTGTTTAGTATCTCTTCTCTCTAGGTCTGCCACTTATGAGCTCTATGGTGTTTCTTAACCTCTTGCTTGACTGACTTGTAGCAGAAAACCTTCTGAAAACTCCTGCTTATAGCGGCTACTTTTGATGTTTTCCCATGGCCTCATTTAATACATTGCATCAACTCCACTAACATTCACTTGTTCCTGTTCTCAAGGACTGTTCCTGTATTCTACGTACACCAGTTGAGTCGATCAGACCAGAAGAGCTGTCTCAGAGCAGTGTCCATGAATGCCTGGTAAGAAGAAAATAGAAACAGTAACTGTCAATGTTAAATACGAAGCTGGTACATAGTAAAAATAATGTCAATAGTGGGTGCTTCTTAAAATGTTAACAGCAAAAATAACCAGAGTACTTCAACGGCTTCCACTCTGGACGAAGTCTATAGGTGACTAAGTGTTACTCTTAATCTTGTACCAAGATTTGTCTTTTAAAAACAAAACAAATGCGCATACACACACACAAAAACCAGTAGCTCTCAAAACTAAGGCTCAGTGTAATGGTAAAAGCACCAGCTTGAATGTTCTGACTTGAGTACTTCACCTTAGCATTCTAATTAATGATATTTCTGCATTAACTTTAAACATGTAAATGTTTAAAAATTACATAGTCATTTTGAAAACTGTTTTTCCTCGCTGTTAGGCTGATTCTGATCTAGCCTGGATTCCCCCGTCCACAGGAAGGAATGAAATGGTATTTTGCTCTTCTAATGTCTCTCACTATGAACTCCAGCTGGAAATAGGTAATATAGTGTACCTTAAAAAATTTCTTATTCCTGCTCTCAACAGGTTATTGCTAACTGCAGTGAATATTAAGTTTTGAAAGTGTATTATCAGCTGACTAGAACTATTCTTGTGTCTCCTTAGTTGAGAAAAGTACAGAACATTGCTCATCTTTCAGTAATCACTTATTTTAAGATAGAAGACAAATCAACAGTTACCTGAATTTTTCTTTTGATGTTTGTGGACAATAAACACATCATTAAGTAATATCATGTCTTGTCACTTGACTGCCCGAGTTGATTGTTCTAAGGATGGCTGCCCCGAATCTTGCTGTGCATACGTATGTTTATGTGAATATGCATGCTGGAAGTTTTATTCATTTAGATTTATAACTGATACTGAAAAATGTTTAAACACATTTACTTGTTCTAAAAATAACAGAGACATGCTTTAACTAATTTGCTGAATATAATTTGCTGCAACTACTTAAGTTCTTAACATTCTTAAAGAAAGGGTCATGCTGCTATCAATTGGAATTTTAGAACTGTAAAATTATCTCTAAATGTGAAGGAAATTATGTGGTGGATTATTGTATTTTTGAATGTTAAGGCAGCCACTTTTGGTTTCAGGAAGGAGGTTCAACAACTTAACTTCAGTCTACCTTGCACGCCATACGCCAACAGGCATGCAAGTTGCAGTAAGGATCACAGACCTAGAAAATTGCTCTGAAGAGCATTTGAAAGCCTTACAGGTAAAGCAACAGCATTTCTGCACAAGTCTGATGAATATAGTAATGAATACATATCAGGTTACTAAACAGAGGTAGCATTTGTGTTCGTACTGGGTCATTGCAATCAAGTTTTTCCTCCAAAGGAGTAGAATATAAACACAAGGCACATGTAAATTTGAGAGTTGCTTTCTGAAGAAAACAGCTGACAAGTGTTTTAGAAATTGCTTTAGAAATTGTAAAACTTTTTCTTTGAAACATATTCTGTACTCTCTATTTTAACAGCAAAACTTTGGACTATCAGCAAACTAGATTTACTTTAGACAAATGTAATTATAGGCAAGTTATTTACATTTTTGTTGCAGGCTATGCACATCACCTGCAACTCTATATAAATACACGCAGGGAACGGTTCTTTCTACTGATTACTGACATAGTTAATGCTCTTAGTAAGACTGTTGTCTTGTGGTTAACACATCCAACTTTCATTTAATTCCATAGAATGAGGTGGTTTTATCCCACTTTTTCCAGCATCCCAACATAATGACACTTTGGACAGTGTTTACAGCTGGTAGTTGGCTTTGGGTCATCTCCCCATTCATGGCTTATGGTAAGAACTGTTAACTGCAATTCTGGAATAGGAAAAAGGGATGATACAATTTGGACCACATGGTCCATGAGAGGTTTTTCTTTAAGCATCTCCTGTCTTGTAGAATAAACAAACTTTCCTGAACCATTTGTTTAAAGAAGACTTATGTAGTGAAGACTGGTATTTGAACTGCATTGAACTTAGTCCTAACACCTACCATGTGAGGAATGGTAATTGAGAGGTGTATTTGATTTTATACAACTTTGAATTTTGCCAACAGAAAACTTGTCTAGATTGAATACAGGTTTGGCATAGACTTTCAGTTAACAGAAGCATGCCTTGAGTGTGATCTTTTCTTGATGCATGCATCCGTTGCATCCATATAACTGTTCTTGATGTACCATAGTCAATATAAAGATGAGAATGCTGCTCTTGATGAATGTATACAATGGAGCAAACATAGATAAGTAATTGAACAAGACTTGTTAGGCTTAGCTAGTTGGTTTTTTTCACTTCCAGGTTCAGCTAGACACCTGCTTAAGACTTACTTTCCTGAAGGAATGAGTGAACCTTTGATAGGGAACATTCTGTTTGGTGCAATCAGAGGATTAAATTACATGCACCAGAATGGCTACATTCACAGGTAGGAGAATGTCAATAGGTAAGAATCAGATTACAGCATCCTGTTTATTAAGAATGTAGTTTCCTTCAAAACTATTTTTCAGCTTAAATGTTGTCTCCTTCCTTTTTCTAGATATACCTTCTTATGTCAGACAGTGCAGAAGCATTTTTTTTCAGTAATACAGCAGAACCAAGTTTGTAGAAGCTTAACAAGAATGGTAGTCAGACATTACTTAAAGCCAGTTGTTACATGGATTATACAGCTATCTGGCTTTGTCTCTGAAGCACAGTTGTAGAAAGGGCTTCCTTACTTCACACTCTTTGCAGGGAAGGAGGGCCCTTCTCCAATTTCTGGCAGTTTTTTCTTGCTGATCATCTCTTCTCTCTCTTGGGACTGTATTAAAAAGACAACTCATACTGAGTGAAAATAATATGCTAAATAGAATGGCATGCTAAGATCTCACTAAGTTAATTAAATATGTAAGCCTTTCTACTCTAGTAGTGCTTTGAATAATTCTTTTAACTAAAATTTACCACTTTATGTTACAGGAATATTAAAGCTAGCCACATTCTGATTTCAGGGGATGGGCTGGTTTCTCTCTCTGGCTTAAACAACCTCTACAGTTTAGTTGACAATGGACAAAAGTCAAAGGTGGTATATGATTTCCCTCAATTTAGTACATCTGTGCTTCCTTGGCTGAGTCCTGAACTACTGAGACAGGTTAGTATAAATTACACCACATTTCTCCTATTCAAAGTTACTGGAAGTACTTAAGTCTGCTTGTAGAAGTGCAGTGGTAGCTGATGAACTGCAACTTTTTTAAAAGACGTAGATGTACTGAATGTGTAATTCTCCTGAAGAGAACCAGTTTTAAACCTGTTGATAAGGTTGTGCTTTACTAAGTTTCTTTACCTCACCTTCTGGGAAACTACTGCAGATCCCAAAACTTGTTTTCAGTACAACCATCAGATTTCTGAACAAAGCCTGAGGTTTCACAATTTAATTGCCTCAATCCCATGTAGGTTACAGGGTATTAGAATCTTGTCTTCAAACAGACACTTGTATTTTTTGTCAGCATTGCTCAATGGCCTCAGTGATGCAGCAGAGTTTTCTCTCTCTCACAGGATTTGTCTGGGTATAACATGAAGTCTGACATATACAGTGTGGGAATTACAGCATGTGAATTAGCTAATGGTCATGTTCCATTTCAAGATATGCCTCGCACTCAGGTATGATGCTAAACTCTTACTTCTATTTCAAAACACCCTGAGCTTTTTTTGTTTTACTTAGAGAAATCAATTCTATTACTGCTGAAATGGTGGCTGGTTTTTGTTATTTCAAATATGCATGCTTCTTTCTAGATCAAATAATCCTTCCATTGCTGGATCTTCACAGCTTAGCCTAAATAGGTCTGGATAGCTGTTGGGACTCTTACACTGCAATTCTTTTCTAACAGATGCTGCTGCAAAAGCTGAAAGGTCCCACATATTGTCCTTGGGATATAAATACCTTTCCCCGTGGGGAATCCAGGATGAAGAATTCCCGATCAGGTGTCGATTCTGGAATTGGTGAGAGCATGACACGCACAATGACCAGTGAAAGACTACAAATTCCCTTTTCCAAAACATTTTCACCTGCTTTCCACAACTTGGTTGAACTTTGCTTGCAACAGGACCCTGAGAAAAGGTAACCTTCTGGTGAAAACTAATTTTCTGTCTTACTTCAATGTAAGACTATGTATAGCCCACAATTTAGGATTCAGTAATTAGTTGAATACCATTAGACCAGAGTACTATGCAAAACACTACACGTACCTTTGGTTTTGTAATTTAAGAATTGTTTTGTCTGATAAAGGAACCATGCTTTTAAAGTTGTTTGTCCCTTGAATTTCTTGTAATATCAACATATTTTGTAACAAGTAAAATTCATCTTTAAACATGTACTTTGTCCAAGAAAAAAACAGAAATCTGAATTATATGGTTTCAGTACTATGTCTCTTCTGAATGAGACATTAAACTTCTTGTTAAACAGAAAAGTGAAAAAGCCTTTAAGAATAGATTTCTTTAGTGGTGCCTTCACTACAAATTGAGGCATAGAATGTAGGAATCCTGTGCTGCTTTTCTCATGCCTCACATTTGTCCTGTGGGTGAAAAACCACAGGACTTAAACTGATTTGTGAGTCTGGCCCATTTTCCAAAAGCAGTATTTTACTTTCCAAAATATAATATATTGTTCATTTTATGATCCAGGCCATCAGCAAGCAGTTTGCTTTCGCATACGTTCTTCAAACAGGTGAGTTTACTACATTTTGTTAAATGACACAGCTATAACCTAAATAAGCCACAAAATATTAGAGTTGGATTACAAAACAATTAAGTTAGCTGGAGTCAGAAACATCCTGTAACAGCATATCTGCTTCAGAGTACTTTTTTTTAATGGTATTGATAGAGTGTGAGAAGCATAAGAGTAATCCATTTCCCCTTTGATAAAGTTGGTTTAAATTAACTATAGTCAGCCTAACTAATAAGAATAATGGTTAATATTCTTAATTTAAAACAGAACTGCATAGCTGATGTAATTAGTCTTGAAAGACTAATTCAACTTACCCTAGAGTGAGGAAAGCTAAACACATTGTATTATTTTCAATATTGTAACATGGCTCTGATTTCACACGCTCTTAATCAAGTCAGATGCAAGGTTATGTAGACTTCTGTGTGCAGCCCTGTTTTAACTTTTCTTCTTTCTAGATAAAAGAACAAACACAGAATTCACTACTGTCTCTATTACCACCTCCTATTCAAAATAACGGATCGGAGTTCTTGGCACTGCCTTCAACAGCAGTTGGGACTGAACTTGGACATATTATTGCAAATGAAGATGATACAGCTTGGGAATTCTAAATAAATACCAAACAATCATACCTCTCTCTCCTGTGCTTCAAAGAAGGAAAATGTGATTTGTATTTGCTGCTTTAGTTTGTATGGTTAAAATACAATTAGACAAGGTATACTTGAAAATGCCATCGAAGTGGCTGTTATTTCATTAACTACTTCCTCTGCTGGCATCATGAAGTGCAGCATGCCTCACTTTCTGCCCATAAGGGAAACTGTATATAGAGAAGGGCTGAATGCTTATCTCCGTCTTTCACAATATTTCTTAACAAGAGAGTTCCTGCTGTAATCTTACTCTATACTGTATTTTCAGCTCGTATTGCTGCAGTCCATGTGCCTTTCTGAATTTAGGCTTGAGTTTTGTCTGTTACGTTAAACAATCTATTTGTCTTTTCAGTACTACCCCAATTATTTTAGTAAAGAGAAATCCTCCCCTTCCAAGTCTAAATTTGAAACTGCACAAATTAGTTGCTCATGTAAACAAACATTTCTCTTTTCACACAAAAAGGCGTTTTTCTCACTTGACATGCTGTCATACTTGCCAAAAGTTAGCTATGCATCATTTTTCATGCAGTTTTAATACTGCGTGTTTCCCAAAGAAGTTAAGCTACTTGAAAATGTGACCTATGCTCTTGCATTTTTCTACATTCTTAGTACAAAATTGTGCTTTTGCATCTCCATTTATTGTGTCATTTTAGAAATCAATCTGAGGGCCTCTTACTATGCAAAGTTTAAGTCTCAAGTTATAACAGGTATGGGTTAGTTTTGAAGACTCATACTAAACAATCTAAAGTTACTGTACATATTTTTATTTATACTGTATTCCTGTTCACCACCAGAACTTACCAGAACCTAATACTGTTTTCTTAAAAGAACAGGCAACATGCATTATGTTTCACTGCCAGAAGCAGTGCCAAACAAGCTTCTTCTGCAAGCCACAATTGAATTCCCATGGATGGATCCAGCCATAACAAGAACCTATTAAACCCCCTAGTATCCTACTGAATTTATCTGTTCTAAGTCAGATGAAAAGTGCCTTTCTTCTCCCTACAATTCAGTTCTCATCTCTCATACCGTACCAGGCAACACAAGATGAACAAAGCAGCTTCTTTTAAAAAAGCTGCATATTCTCACTGTGTTTTAGCAAAAGTTGTGTCCCAAAGCAACTAGTACTTTACTGATATAAGTTCTCACCATAGTAAAAATGTATAAATAGATATCGACTTGGTATCTTTTACATGTTCAACATAAACAACATTCCACACTAAGTCTTCAAGTCTTCCATAGCTGAGCTGATCTGCAACCAACCTTGAGAATACCACTTTGCCAGCAGCTTCACTACAGAGCTTTGAAGACCAAACGACCAACACACAAGCCTGACACAGACATAAAATTCTAAATGACCACATTAAAGTATGAACAAAAAAGTTGATTGTACTCATTATGCTGTGAAGAGAGCTCTGTATTTCAAAATCTAATACATGAAACTTAAGATTAAAAACCTTTCAATAAACTTACCCTATCTGTCTCCAGTTATTTCTGTAATTCTTGTACTTCTATTTTCACCATAGTGCAGTCATACTAACAGCTTGTTACTGCAGGAAAGAAATTTTATATTTATGTCAGTCATTAGATAAGAAAATAGTTGTCTAAACTAGAAAATTACTCTGATTATAAAAATACTTATAACTTAATTATGCACTCTGAGAGAAGATACTATTTTCATGTAAACCCATGTTCTTAATTCTTAACCACTACAAATATTTACTGTTTTCAAATCAAATACATTATATAGCATCTACAAGTAAATTCTGACTAACAGTATATGGAAAAAACAAGTAAGTTGTACATAATTTAACTACAGACATCTGAATAAACAATACTTTTAAACGAATGCGTAAAATTTCAGGCACTTTCAAAAACTGCTATTATTTGCAAGCTTCTCTTGAAGCAAGGGTTGTGCACTCTCTCTATAGAAATGAACTTAAACAACCATGTGTTCCAGTGGAGTTAATTTGCTGGTGTCTCTTTCTGTGGAAAAAATTAAAATTACTTACATCTAAATACCAGTCCTGCTTCTGTCCTGACATAAATTTTAAGACAAAAATGAAATAACAGTTTTGGAAGTTAAAAAGCTCACAAGTTTTTACTGTTACAACTACTGCTTTTCAACAACCAGAATATTTTCAAACAAAAGCAATTAAGCAGCACTGTGACTTATAGTAATTCTTAAAATAACCAGAAATACTTGAAACTAATTCCTGGATTATGTTTGCTGCAGTTTTGCTCATTAACTGTGATGCTTTCTATTAAGGAATAATGCAAGATAAGAAATATCAGTTCACCAAAAAAAAAAAAAAATGTATCATCATATTGTTAAGTAGTTAAGTTCAACTACTTGTCACTGAAAAGAAGTTCTTGGAAACAACTGTGTTCTACTAAAAATCTGAAGTTTTTGCATACAGTTCATGTTTTCAAAATCTGAGATTCATGACCTGTATTGTTAAGATTCAAGTTGCAGAGACCTATTCCAAGCTGATATAGTTCTAAGCACAACAATTTTTCTCTTCTTTTTGGAACACTTGTTTACTCACTTTTACTCATGACAATGATGTAAAACTTTACCAGCATATGAACTAGAATTTAACTTTGACTTGAATTTTCAAGTTCTTACATTTAGGCTCTATGTGAGGTATTTTCAAAGGGGCTTATAAAACTTTTATACATTTGCAAAATCTCATGGCCACTGAAACAGAAATTCATAGCTTGATTACTTTTGCAATATTTGTGAAAACAATACAAGAGTCTTTCTTTGTGCTAGCATTTAATGCTACAGAAAATAATGAAGCATCTGTCAACAATAGAAAACTTATGTTAGGTAACATTATCCTGAATATATGCTCAATGCTGTTGAGTTTCTTACTGTCTTGGTCTGATACCACAGCAGTGTGTGAATGCCTGAATGGAACAACACAGGAAAAAGTGTGATATACTCAGAAACAACTTGATCCGCTATATGAACTACTCGCTTTAGAGAGTCTCAGTGCAATAAATATCCATGGAAGAGATAACAATTTCTTCCACTTGATGCTATTAAGGAACAAAAGTAAATATTAAAAAAAAAAATATTATCAAGTTTCTCTTTTCCCCGCTCTCTCTTCCTCATATGCTATGAAAGCAGTTTTTAGCCTAAAGGATGGGTGAAATCATAGGAAAACATTTGAAAAACATTGTTCTGAATGTCTCTGACAGCAAATACGTAAGTAGGTTCCTTAAGTACCCTATCTTTAATGCTAGTAAGTAGCTTTGCTAAAGTACATTAGGTTGTCTAATAAACCTCTAAAACAACTAAGCTAGCTGTAATGACCTGTCTCAATGACGGTCATCCCTATCTTGTATGAATGAGGAAAAACTACTAAAATTCAGAGATACTACACAACACATCCAGTGAGACAGACCTCAAAAGATTATGAGTAAGAACCATACTATGAAATAAATGAAATGGTCTACTAATAATCAGCTTGAGCAGAACAACATTTGGTATTAAACATAATTAAACCTATGCAGAAACTTGAGATACGATGAAGGAAAGAATATTAGGTTTAAACAGGTTCCTGTGGAAATCTCCATCATCCCCAAATGAAAACAACTGATTCTACTCCATAAATTAGTTACATAAATGTATGTTACTTATCCAAAGTTCCATGAATTCCTGAAAAATGCCAAAAAAAGCCATAAGAAATTAGCTGCAATTGAGTGGTGGTTTTATTTTTAGGTATGATTACAGAACACACCATTACTACTGGATTTACCCACAAATCCAGATTTCTGGAATCTCTGTTTGCCCTATCATGGATCCACCTGCAATAGAGAAGACCACTAATACGGGCTGAAATCTTGCCTAACGGTCTTAACAGACCTTTCAAAGTTTAGGTTATAGCAAAACAAATTGACACACTACTAATAAAAAGTAAATGAATAGTACATCCAAAATTCCTAGGAATGAACTCTGTGAACATTCAGAGTGGCTGCTTTTGCTCACTGTAGCTATAATACTGTAGTTAATGTTGATTAACCACATTAGAAAACATTTACTTGAAAACATTTAAATTTTAAAAAATACTACAGATTTTTTCTTTCTCACACTTTCACATTTCTGAAATACAAGAGAGTCTTGTTATTCTGTCAGCAGAAACACATTTTCCATCAAGGTAATTTTGTCTTGCAACGGTTTGGTCTTTGTCTAATCCACTAGCCTATCACATCAATTAGTTACAATTCTGATTAAGATGGCACAGTGTGCAACACCTTATTCTGTAAATGACCAAAGCCAGAAAAGCTATGTAACACCTGTTACCAAATTACAAGGTCCACTGCAATGTGCAAACACATTTAATGTTGGTTAGCAAATTACTTGAAGTGAAAGATGCAATAAAGATATTGCAAGAACATCATTATTTTTATTATTACTACTACTACTTTTTTTTTATCACAACCTGGGAACATTATCTTCCCAACTGAGATTCCATGTAAGATTTTCTTTGCCCTCTCACTTTTCTTTAGAAGAGCATTCTGGATTCACTTGTAATTCTGGGGTGTGATAATTTCCAGTAATACATCTTGGAGAATTTCACAGAATTCACCCTTAGGACTGTTTTCCATTTGCTCTACTTGAATGTTTTGATTCTCAAACTTCAAGCTGGTAGTATTTGCTTTAACTTTACTAAGAGAAGAATCCAACGATGCAATTTAAGAATTTACAGGCTGTACTCTGGAGGTCTCTTTAGGTGACCTACAAATAAGGTCTTGCAGAATTCACTGACTGACTCATGTTCTCCTGGAGTTCCTCCTAATTCATGTAGAGCAGTCTCTGTTGCTTTTGCAAGATTCCAATACACATCCATGTCTGTATCTTCTTTACTTACTAAGTCTGAAGGTATGTTAAGCTAATTTGATCCTTGAAAAAAAAATTTAAAGGATGACAGCCAACATCAAGGAGATTATATTTGTTCTTGATTTTGTCAATAAAAAAGAATATTCAGACTTCACATCCCCTGACAAATGTATGTATGCCCAAACATATTGGCTCTAAAATACTTTATCTAGAACCTAGTGCCCTCTATTTGTCCTCTTCTTGATCTCTCTCATAACTTATTAGACAGATTTATTCTAGTAGTAGTAGTAATAAAATGTAATGTACTCACAATAAGCATAGGAAATACATTTTTAACAGATTTT